ACTGTGTTATAGGTAAAAGATCTCTGGAAAGTTACCGAAGTGTGTCCAAAAGCGCAATACCTCAAACAATGACGGATGTCTCGATTATGAATATCATTTCCTCTGCAAAGTTTATCAAACAAGTACGACGTGGTCTTATTGGAGTTTAGTAAAAAAACAAACGTGGCTAACTGAACTTTATAACGGTCCTTCAGTTTTAGCCAACCCGAATCAGAGAGGCACTGGGAAATATGGTTATACTTTCTGAGATAACTGAAATGAATACAAGCATTCTGAAGTCGTTGAAGTATCTCCTTATTTCCATTAAATATAGCTGGTCAATAGACGATACTGCAATAACAGACATGGGATAAAACTAACATATCACAGAGTTTATTTTTAACTTCTTTACTGAGAAAATGTTTATAAATATATAATGTCCTCAACTTATAGAAGGATTTTTGTAACACCGAGCCAACATGCTTAGAAAACCGGAAGTCACCGTCAAACTATAATCCTAAAATTTTACAGCCGTCTAAAGAAGGACAGATAATCTCATCATTTAGCGTAATCTTGAAAGAGGCGCACAATAACATCTGTGTTTTCTAGTATTCAATAAGAGGTTATGAGCAGCAGACACTTCCGAAATTATTTTTAGATCTAAATTTATTTTAGTGGCAGCATTTGAAGCTTCACTGGCACCAAAAGACAACTGAGTATAGTATAGGGGAATACCCCTCTCCAAAGCAATGGCATCTGAGTCCTATAACTACACTTTGGTATCTCTGACAAAGAAATCAATCGCAGTGCCGAATTCACGGGACTTACCCAACTCTAAAATAAATACGTTACATCTAGTGTCGACAACTCTTACGGACTCAACTAGATATTTCCGCCAATCAGCATCAAGGCTCCTCTAAGGCTAAGTCCCGAAAGTTGGATTGGATTTGGTTAGTTTATTGACCCCTCAGCACTTTCCTTTCAGAGAGCGAGCAAAATGCATTATGCATCATTATTTTTAAGAAAATTCTGCACCATTTCAAAAACTAACTAAAACAATTTTTACTATTTTCCTAGCAAATGGAAAAATCTGATACCACACAAAATCGAACAAAAAATTATGCACCACCATGATGACGAGTGCCGATTGAGCTTGCAAGAGTATGAAATGGCTGCTTAGGCGAGTGTACCACTTGGAAATCGGATTCGAGGATATAAATATTTTTAGATACTCTCAAACACAATAAATAATGCTTTTATATAAAAACGGCCGCCATATCCCGACAATAATCATCACGAACCTGCCGATCGCGTCGGGTCTTGCGGTCGGCGCCGTCAACCTGACAAAAACTTAAACAATTGACAAAGAGCACGAGTTGGTGCCGAACAAAAAATTAAATTAATTCCTGGCGGCGAATGGATGGCACGTCCCATTGCTGCGCATAAAATTCAAATTTAACAGTTTGATTTGTTGGTAGCGAAGTGAAAGCAGTGGTGCGACGTTACACGTTTTCAATTTGCTAATATCCTGTTTCAATTGTTTAATAGTACTGCTATAGGCGCCAAATTTGGAAGGTACGGGATAATTCTGCTGATAAAATTTTGAGTTAAATGGAGGTAAATTGGGAAATGTCTTGAAATGGAATATCAGCAATGGCTTTGATAAATCGATAAATGTAGAGAAAAAAAAATATACAGACAAACGAGGAACGTCTACCCACAGTGATGAACGAAGTGATACTTATTTGACCGTATTCAGTTTGCGTCAATAAACCAAGGAATACGCGGTATTTTAAGAATTGACGTCAGCCATTTAGGTCAAATAGAATATTGCCAGGAGTGGGCCAGTATTCTATCTAGTATGTGCTCAAGTGTAAACATTGAACAGACAGGTATATTTTTTTAAAGAAACGTCCACACACCACTGTAATACTATTTACAAATGTTCTGGAGCCCAAAATTATTTTGAATTTAATAGACAGATTTGCATCTCTAAGGAAGGTTTGATTATGGGAAACCCACTTAGTCCTTTGTTAGCCGAGATTTTTATGAAAAAGTTTTCTATGGTGGTATAGATACGTGGATGATGTCTTTGCTCGCTTTTTTGGAACCCACAGACAACTGAATTCTTTTCTAAATTACATTAACTCATTACATAATCGTATAAAATTCACTATCGAGATTGAACAGGATAAGTCTATTAATTTTTTAGACTTAACTATTACGAAAACGCAAAACAAATTAGATTTTTTCATTTTCCATAAACCTTCACACACGGACACATAACATACATAACAACTCACATACAAAATGGCTGCATTTCACTCTTTTATACACAGACTTCTTAATACACCACTCTCAACAGAAAATTACAACAGAGAACTTAATATCATTAAACAAATTGCACTGAACAACGGCTACAATCCGTCCATTATAGATAACATTATAAATAAAAAACAAATCCAGGCAACAGTAAACTCTATTTATCCGAAATCTAATACAGAACACGAACAATTTAAAACAATTACATACATAGAAGAACCCAGTGAAAAAGTTTCAAAACATTTGTCAAAATGTGGTTTAAAAATTACTTTCAGAACTAACAACACAATAGGAAAATTTTTAAAAAACAATAAAACGAAATGTCCAAAATCTCAAAAATCAGATGTCTACAGGTTGAAATGCGGATCTTGTCCTAAAATTTATGTTGGACGAACAGGTAGATCCTTCAAGAAACGCATTAACGAACATAAAATAGCGTTTAAAAACAATAGTATAGATTCTAATTATGCTACACAGTTAAACACAGAAAAACAAATTTTTGACAACAATTTTGATATTTTACATACAAAATGAGACATTCACTGTCAATTAGATTTACATACCTCTCTTATATTAATCTTAAATTCTCACAACAACATTAATTAAGGTTTTATTGTCTGTTATTTTTCGAATAAATAATTTCGTGAAAATCTGAACTTTTAGTTCATATTTATTTTGTTGTGGATTCCTCGCTACTTCAGTTCAGCGAAAAGTTTGATTTGTAAACAACCGACCAGGAGGAGTCCAGAAGATTTGTAAATAGCCAGGCATCATGTTTACAGATAGCTAAAATAATTACAAAAGTTGATGGAAAATAAATAAATAAACATAAATAGAAGTAGGTAACGCGACTTTTACTTGAGTTAATTACACCAATCTAATCAGAATAGAAAGAAGAATCCTGTAGATGTTTAACGGTAACTGTAAAATGAAGCCCACTTTTACGAAGCTACAATAATTGTCCTAAAATATCAAATTCAGACCTGCGTTGTTACGCCTTTTTTGCCTTTCTGTATGGTATACAAATCAGGGTATTCAGCAAAGAAATTAAGGATTGCGGACAGAATAGTTTCCAACAGAGAAGTATGATAGACGACTGAATGGATCCTGTAACTTAGCAGCTTGGAAACTAGCTGACTAGGAGCTACTGGCTCTCCCCATACCGAAGGATTCTTTTCCTCAATCAGCGTAATACATTCTAAAATACAAACGTTATCCCACATTCATAGATTTTACTATTCTAAGATATACATTTTTTGAAATAACGTTTTAGTTTTAATATATACAACAGATTCTTCTGTGTTCGGGGTCGGCACCGGCGGCTACTCCATTATCTTTTCCAATATCTCTCCCAGTCAATTTAACATCGGAACTCGGAGGTTATTGGGATGCAGAAGTCCCGCGGGATCGATTCATCCATCCGGATCCCGAGATATCGAGTGGCTATTTTTGAGACTGAAAGGATCGCGAAACATCGCATACATCATCTGTCGTAAACCGCGGTCAAAAGAAAATGAATTCTTTATATTTCCGGTACAAAAGGTATTTTAGAGGTCCAGGGACTATTATTATATTCATTCATAAGTTTCGACTATTGCAACATTCTTGTAAATATTTTAACAAGATACCGCCTCGCTTTAAATCTATCTAACGAAATGTACAAATTAAGAGTATGTGAACTATGCGTCCTGTAACGACACATCTTCAAACCAAATATCAAAGACATAACCCGTAAACAAAAAAGATACTGGAACGAAATTTATTTAATGCATGTCTGATGCAAGAAATTCTGTTTTCTAAACATGCAGCACTTTTGAGTTGTTAAAAACAAGAAAACAACATCCGTAACTATAAATATAAAAGTTAAAAATATTATTACTCTACTGTCTCCTCTAAAATACCGAATTATACACTAATCAGGCGTGTACAAAGTGTTCATTTAAGATGCCAACTTCGTTAAGACCCTCTTCGGACGTTTCCGGTACTTTAGTCACGACTTTGGAAGCGGTAGCACTTTTTCAGGAGATTTTATGGGATTTTTATCAGTTTGTCAGTTCTGACGCTCAAATCACATTTTTTTTGGAAAAATGTACACTCACACACACTAACGACCGGTGCAAACGAATAGAACGTTTATAAATTTCGTACGAGACTGGTTCTGCTCGTGCCTAAAGAAACTCCTGATTAAACTGGCGTTTATAAAACTTATTGGATTTGTATTGCATTTTAAATTAGAGAGCAAAAAAAAGTAATTAGTCTTTTGAATTTTTACGATACATCGTCATTTTCAGTTTTGTCATTTATCTAACCACAAGTCATTTTCAATATAAAATTTTTTAATGACACGAAATGAACCATTACCGATTACACTAATTTGCAAATGGTATAAAAGCGTCAGATTTGACATATTTTATTTCAATCGGCTGTTAACACCGAAGTTCAAATTTGTTCAACATTCCCAGCAAATGAGTAATTCAATATTGCAATTACCTACCAAAATTTCACAATTATAATTTAAAATCCTTAAGTCAAAACTGACTTAAGATAAAAATGACAGAATAAAAAGCTTGACATTCAGTACTGTCTAAAGGGTATTATATAATAATTTTAATGAACCGCGTATATACATTTAAGTGATAAAGCGTTACTCGCTATCGCGTAGTGGCAGATAAAAATTGATAACCCCTTTAAAACAGAAAATTTTAACAACATCGTCCGATTCGTTTATATAATCCGTCGTAGAAAGGTTTATTTCTGGTTTAAGAAGATGCCGGCTGTAACAGATATACAAGTCCTTAAGGACATCGCGACTAGAATAAGGATACATAGTGTCGAATCTACAGCAGCTGCCAATTCTGGGTGAGTCCATTAAACGTTGGGCTTATTTCTGTTAAACCTTTTGAAGACACTATATTTTTTCAAAACCTTGTGAAAGTGAGCAAATGAGTGTTTTTTATGTATGTATTGCCTATCATGTTTAGGAAAATTTGGCTGTAAAATAAACTTGCATATTTATAATCACTAACGAATCGATTAATGATATTTACATTCTTATTTATAAGTTGCGATAATGTAAAAATGCTGTACATATTTTTAATATCAAAGGTGACCTTCGAGATAAATGATGTAATCCAAACACACTACAGTAATTCTATTTTTTTTAAATAGTTAGACTTAATGTACCAAAGTTAATGATCAGGAGTTGAATTTATTCTAGCATTAGTTTCAGTTTGGTGTCCTTGTATCTTTTAGGCATCCAACGACTTCATCGTCAATAGCCGAAATTCTTTCAGTCCTCTTTTTCAACACTTTGCGTTACAAACCAGACCAACCGAGAGACCCTTCAAGCGACAGATTTGTGCTCTCCAAGGGTCACGCGGCACCCGCTTTATACGGAGCCTGGGTCGAGAATGGAGTGATCCCGGCTCAAGAATTGCTCAAGCTGAGACAGCTGGGTAGTGACCTAGAAGGACATCCTACTCCCAGACTGAGCTTTGTCGACGTAGGTACCGGTTCGCTGGGCCAAGGTTTGGCTATAGCAGGAGGCATAGCTTACACTACCAAAAACTTTGATAAAATCGATGCCAGAGTGTACTGTCTCATTGGCGATGGCGAGAGTGCAGAAGGTTCTATATGGGAATCCATTGCTTTCATCAGTCATTATAATTTGGATAACGTCGTGCTAATCGTAGATGCTAACCGATTAGGTCAATCTGAGGCTACTATGGTCGGGCACAATCTCAACCTTTACAAAGTTAGATTGGAAGCTTTCGGATGGAATACTATCGTCGTCGATGGTCACGATGTCGGTGAGCTGCAAGTAAACAGTAGTTTCCAAATATTAGACATCTTAAATCGTAGGAGAACTTATTAAGGCATTTGACTTTGACGTCGCTACCAAAGGAAAACCAACCGCAATCATCGCGAAAACGTACAAGGGCAGAGATTTTCCCGGAATCGAAGATAAAGATGGGTGGCACGGAAAACCGTTGGGAAAAGAAAGCGAACCCGTTTTGAAGCATTTGAGGAGTCTCTTAAAATTACAAGGTAAGGTCGTAAAACTGAACCACGCATTTTCCATCGAGTCGAGAGGTGAATGAAGGAAAATGAAGCAAATAGAAAGGAGCAAATATGTTTGCTGTTTATTTCTTCATTTTTTTCATCAATTGAGATATTCAGCACTTAATAATAATAATAATAATAATAATAATAATGATAATAAGGTTTATTCATTAAAATAAATGTACAAAACGTACACAATAGAATAATACACATGTTAATGAACAGATTTCCACTGTAACGATTAAAAATGTCTTTAGCTCTACTTTGAAATTTTTATCATATACAGTGTCCTTAAGTTTTTTGGGAAAGTAGTTGAAAAACTTTGGGGCAGAAACATAAATAATCTTTGCTTAACGGTTGTTTTGCTCACTGGGACTGCTACACCATCATTTTTACGGGTATTCCGTTGATGTGTGATATTTTCAAGTTTCAAGAAAGAGAGAGTCCAATTTGATAGTTTCAAACTGTGGTAGAGTATTAGAGTAAGATGCGAAAGGAAGGAATTTTATTTTAGTGTTGATTGAAGTCAGTTTATTATATTTAAACCACTTGCTAATATTGCTAAAATCTCGCTCTACAATGCACTTAAGTCGATACCAGTTTTCTGTGGTGTAAAATACGGCGGTACCATCTGCAAAATAATATAGAATATATTGTGAACAGTACTGGACCCAATAACATTCCTTGCGGAACACCACATGTGACAGTTCTCGTTTTGCTTTTAACGCCATCAATATTCACAAATTAGTTTCTATTTTCGAGATAGTCTTTTAGAATTTTTAACGCACTACCCCTGAATCCATATTTTTCGAATTTTTTCGTAAAAACAACGACTGTTTGAGTGCTAACATTTGATGGTGGCTTTTTAAAGAAGATTTTTCATCTATTAACTTGTTAAATAGATACCAGAAGAATGTATATGTGTAAATCATCTTCTGTCGTTGCCTTTGTTTATTTCGATCGCATGAATTGATTTTTATTGGACTGATTGTGTCTCGTAGGTACGTTGAAATATACAATTCCAAAACCTCAAAGTCAAGCACCTCAAGTCAGTATCAAAAATATCACGCTCTCTTCGCCGCCCAACTACAATGTCGGAGATTCCCTAGCTACAAGACAAGCATACGGATCGGGTTTGGTTAAAATAGCTCAAAATAATCCGAGAGTCATAGCGTTGGATGGCGACATGAAAAATTCCACGTTCGCTGAACAACTGAAAAAATTCGATCCGGAAAGGTACATCGAATGCTTCATCGCTGAACAAAGCTTGGTGGGAACTGCTATCGGTGCTACTACCAGGGACAGAACGGTGGCGTTTGTTTCCACTTTCGCAACTTTCCTTACCAGAGCTTTTGATCAGGTAAAATTAAGGTTGTTTAGCATTTCTCCCATATTGCTGCAAATATATTTTTAATGGAAATTTTAAAATTAATGATGTCGTGTGCCAATAGCACCTAAAATGGTCCAATGATTTTCCCGATTTCTTTCAGATTCGTATGGGAGCTATATCTCAATCAAATGTGAATTTCGTCGGTTCCCATTGCGGGGTGGAAATCGGTGAAGATGGTGCTAGCCAGATGGCTTTGGAAGACCTCGCTATGTTTAGATCAATTCCCGGAGGTACTGTATTTTATCCCGCCGACGCAGTGGCCACCGAAAGGGCTGTTGAGCTAGCAGCAAATACCGCTGGAATATGTTACATCAGAGTCAACAGACCCGCTACCAAAGTTATTTACCCCAACAATTTTAATTTCCAGGTATATTTAACACTCACGCTGGTTTAAATTGTTAAGTAATTTCTCTTCAGATTGGCAAAGCGAATGTCGTTTTCTCTACACAAAACGACCAGGTTCTTCTGATCGGCGGTGGGTTGACTACCCAAGAATCTATTACAGCAGCTTCTCAGTTATCCCAACAAGGTATCGGCGTCCGAGTTTTGGATTTGTTTACTATCAAACCGATCGACAAAGAAGCGATTATCAAAAATGCCAACGAGAGCGGTGGAAGAATCTTGGTAGTCGAAGACCATTATTACGAAGGAGGAATTGGAGAGGCTGTACTCTCGGCAATCGCAGAAGAACGTAACATTTATCTGAAACACGTAGCCATTCCTAGAGTGCCTCGTTCTGGTACGACAGCCCAACTTTTGGATTACTACGGCTTATCGGCTAAGAGCATCGTCAATTACATTCTCGAGGTTATCAAAAAGTGATGTGCTACCACGAAAGTGTTTTCTGGAATAAATATATTTTTATATTCTCAGATTTTTTGTATTGAGTTAAAACGACGCTCTAAGCAATATAACAAAGACTATAAAAAATCCATCCATCTCTTCCCAAATCCCGCAGGATCCGGGAATAACGAAGTATCGATAACTGAATCGAGAACAATAAAGAAACAAAAAGAGATAAAAAGGGAAGACAGCTGACAGCCAGCGAAGACGAATCGGTGACGTATTGACCGCATGTGCGGGGACTGTTTAGCCTCCGAATATGGTTCCTCGTTTCTTTTTAAATCGGTTGAAAATTGAAGTTGATTCATAATTATTCAGCGCCCGCGTGCCCTTTCCCATGAAACCGTTAGGGAAACTTAAAACTCATTTTTTAAACATTAGACAGATTCAAATCGGGTTTCATTAAAGAGAACACACAGAGATAGGGGTGCGCCTTGCATCCCTTTTCCGTGTATATATTGCGAAATCATGACCAAGCGAAATTTCAGACACTTTCCGTTCTTTCTTGTCGACGGGGTCGAGCGAAAACATTTTAATTCAATGATATAATTGTGTATATACGTTTGCGTTAATAAAAAAACAGTTTTGGGCACATAATAGAAACGTAGAGTCACCACGACTCCCTCGCTCTTTGGAGGGGAAACGATTTTCGACTCTTTCCGACAGCGTTGACGTAGTTTTCCTTATTTGGACGAGACCCAAATGGGGAAGGATTGAATATTCGTAGTGTTGTTGGTAAATAAGACTATTATTATTGATATTTTGGTTTGTTGGGTTAAGTCAGTAACGTACTATGTGAAGAACATTTCTTTCAACGTTCAACGTTGGAAGTATCTCTTGTAACGCGTCCGCACATGATTGATCCTGATGTGCATATGTATTGGATATTTCAGAAGATATCAACGACTAGTTTTGTTATGGAGCTGTGGTCTTGCCAAGTCACCAATTTTTTCGTGTGCATTTTTATTTGATGAAGATAAGTTAGTCATTATCTTTTTATTAATAATAGATCAAATTCTTATTTCCTAGAATAGAACAATTTTTGGATATTAAAGGAACAATTGAAACGAAAAATAGAAAGGGAAGGTCAAATCGATTATTGATTTTTTCTACTCTCGTCTGTAAAATACCTAATTATACACCGATATAGCGTGCGGGAAGCGTCACTTTACCACGTCGTTTTTCACGGATCCGAACCACTTCGGACATTTCCGGGTTTTTACACGGGTTTGGAGGCAGTTGGATGTTTTCGGAGATCCTTCCCACGCCTGGAAATGGAAAATAATAATAATAATAATAGTAACAGTATATTATGCAAAAAGTGCGATAAACGGCATTTGATTTTTTGGGTATATTTTTGAAAGACAACACGAATACATTCACCGACTTGAGTGTCAGAATGGACAAAAGTCAAAATATCTCGGAAATATCCGAAGTGGCCCGGTTCAGTGGGACACGAAACTGTGGTGGTAAAATCATGCTTTCCGCACGCTTGATAGTTGTATAATTAGGTATTTTACAGAAGGGAGTAGTATAGTACATATAAATATTTATCCAATTAAATTAATGCATTGTTAAATTTTTGGTTGCGGTTCCCTATTAAACTGTAGGTATTTATCGTCAGCTATTCTCCCTAAACGTCTAATGGGACACTCACCGTGAATAACCCTGTATAAATGAAACGTTCCTGAATAATAATCGTTTTTTTTTATTTTTTGCTTTATAACTTGAGGCCAAGTTTTGTGTGTTACATTCCTGTTAAAATTTTCCCGAGCACATCTAAGCCGCTAGGTAAAATTATTGCGTTAATTTTAAGAATATTTGCAAATTGCTGCAAACTAGTAATTTAAAGTAATTATACAGCAGTACCAAACCGAAAAAGAATACCAACAAAAAAATTAGGTCACTTTTCTTACGGAGTCGCTGAGTCACCGATAACACTATGTACATAATAATTTATGTACTGTCATGAAAAAATATCTCCTTTCATTGCGTGTCATCGAAATATTAACAAAAATCACTTTTTAAAGATGCCTCTTGTTCCCTTAAATTAACCGACATGTCACTAACGAACACTCTGTATATGTAATTTTTGCTGCACATGTTAGTTCTGAATCGCACTAGCTACCACGTTAAATTTCATTTGGGAAATCCCAACTATCATTACACGCACGCCAGTCAGCGCTTTTTACGTAGTGGCATACCGACCAAATATTCGAAGAATGCGAACAACGAACTGAAAAAAAAAGTTCAATTATTTAAGTCATCTGCCGCCGTCGACAAAAAAGACGCCGAAAACGGATCAACCGAATCGAAATAATAGCGTCAAGAAGAAATTCAATTAAGGTATCAAATAAACAATTACAAAATTTTACGTAGGCATGTAATGGGTACCTTTTTGGTCGTTTCGCTAAGTTACTCGCATAGTCACGCCATTTTCCAAGATAATGAATGTTGTAAGCCTTTGAAATGTCACTATATATGCACAGAATTAGGGAGTTTTTTCTGGTGGTAGGCATGTCGGTCTTGCTTAATAAAGGGTATTTATTTAGAGACGACTTTTAATTTAAAAGAAAATATAAAATAGTATAATTTACGATTTTTCTATGGCCTTTAGTTTTGGTTAGTTAGTAGTATGACCATGAAAACCATAGAGAAAACTAATAAGATCAAGGACGAACCAATTCAGGCGTTAAGTGGCGGGAAATTTGAACTATAAAGTTATCTTGAAGTTTTAGAGAAAAGTAAGAAAATTGATAGTTAATATCGCTTTATTTAAAAATAGCAAACATAAATAAATAATGAAAATTGAAAAAAACAATATCGTCAAATCGAACAGCAAAACTTTTATTTGAGGTTGGCTGCCCTTAGTCGTTTATAAGTTACGATAGGAAAAAACTGTACCATAACTGAAATATAAATTAATGGTGCATGTTACGCTGGATTATAACGGTTTTCTACCTTTTTTTATTCCAATGTAAACTCAATAAATACGGCAAATCTTGAAGAGTTAGAAAAAAAATTCAAATGCCAAAAATGTTTTTTTTTGTCATTTATTTGAAAGAAATTTCTTCCTGATTTCAAAAATATTAAGTTTACAGCCGTTTTCTTAATATTCACGTTTAAATTTTAGTTGAAGTTACTAAAACTCAGATCAAATCCGTATAGCCGTGTTAGTAAAATTAGAGTAATAATGTCCCACAATATTGATGATCCTTTCACGGCCGCGAAAACGCAAGAATAATGTCGGAATTTTCGGGCAGTAAAAACACAGTTTGTCGCAAAAAAGAACCAGTCCCCCAGAGAAGCAAGCACGGTTTGTTTTCGCTCTTAACTATCAAGCGCAAGAACAGCAGTTTTGGGATAGGGTAATATTTTCCGATGAAAGGATCTTCCAGTCTTGCATAAAGTGTAAAATCAAGGAGTACAGACCATACAACCAGCGTTTCAACCGTTGATTTGTAGACAGGTACAGAGCTGCAGGTCATTTCAGTGTAAATGCATGGGGATGGATTTCATCCAGAGGAATGGGAGTGGTATAGGAGATTGGAGGGGGAGATTTGCCGGTTAAACTTATGCCGAAAGATTGCAAAACGTTATGGTGCCCAGTGTGAAACAGCTTTACTGGGAAAAAAAATATATTTTCCAACAAGGCAACTGTCCTGTCCACACTGCAAAAATTGAAACCTTGTCATAGCCAAGTAATAGTTCTGACATCATCCCAATCGAAAACATATGGGAGATAATGGTGGAACGGCTGTATCGATGGCGAAAGCTATGGCAATGTATTCAGGAAGTATGGAAGAATTGTCCCTTGAAGAAAACTTCATAACTGATTTCATGACCATGAGTCGAAAACTTCAAGCTGTGATTGATGCGGATAGGGATTGCACAAAGTATTAAATTTCTTCTTGTCCTGTTGGGTCCCTGTTAATAGCAACGAACTATTTTTAACATTTTTTACAATTCTTGCATTTACTTAAACTTAATTATTTTTAAGTTATTTATTTAAAAATTAAAAATTATATTTTTATCATTAAATTACATTACAGCCAACGATAAACAATAACGTTGAACAAAATACTGAATACTCAAATACCTATATAATATCAGCATAATATGCAATTTATCGCTTAGAACTTGCAATAATTTAGTATTCATATAAACAAACACAATAAAAATAGATTTAATAATACATTTTATTGTAAGAGATGGATATACTTTATAGTGAAAGAATAGAGATAACGCGCTCTTACGCTGTTGGCTAAAATAGTTGACGAAATCGCTAAACTGAACTATTCGATATCCATAAAGAAAAAACACTAAACTCTTAAAAGATGCGTATTCATTTTTATTAACCAAAGTGTTTGCATAAACCTGCCTTTAGATCCCATATTGGAACCAAACTTTATTTTGTCAAAATGTGATATCAGTTTTTTATGAAACTGGCTTACATATAAAATATTAGATTTGTTTTTTTTTAAACAAAATAGGAAAAAAAATCTTTAAAGAATACAAAAACCCTTTAGACATTTTATTTAACTATACAGTAATTTTACTTTTCATTTACATTTGTTTTGGACACAAACTAAACAGGTACACACATAAAACCAAGCAGTATATAACAAAACAATAACAATTAAGTTGCATATTTGGTTTAAAATTGAGTAGTTTTCCGGTTTTTTATGTCAATCAGAAATTCATTTTGATAAAAATATACAAAGTCTTTCAGAGAAAGACACGAAACGTATACTTAAGTCGTAACCCAATAGGGAGCTTGAACATTTTTTTAAAATAATTCCTTTAATACATTTGTTTATGCATAGAAATAACGCATACCAAATATCAAAACTCAAAACCCTATGTTGGCAATAAATAATTCAAGTTGTGACACCAGGCTATTCCTTTTAAACGACACTAAACGCGCGGGAATGCTCGTGACGTCATACCGCAGGTTTTCGAACGATACGGCGACATGTTATAGTGTCATTCTCAGGTTATAGGCCGAGAATTATATTATTTACT